CCATGTAAGAACTTGATATTATAATGAATAATTGTTATTGAACTTGTTGATTTACAATGATACATCCACATGGGATATATAACACAGCAAATATAAAAAGTTATATTGGATGCTCTAGCTAGCAATTGAATATTTAAACTGTCAGTGGATGTTTTCACGCCTGATTCTAAGGAAAGAATGTTAGCTATTTTAGTTGACTATTATATGTTAACTAGTGGCATCCAGAGAATCATTATGTCTTCTATCATCGGGGTCCAAGTAACCAAATGTGCCGTGTACAAGTGTGGTCAGGTGAGTTTGATCGATGGCAACTGATCTTGAAGTTCCAAAATCAGCAACTTTTGCTCTGTATTTTGCATCTAAGAGTATGTTGGTAGACTTGATGTCTCTGTGATAAATGGGAAAGGCAGCTGAAGCATGTAAATAGGAAAGAGCTCCTGCAATTTCCATGGCAATTCGTAAGCGAACTTCCCATGTAATTGGAAACTCGTCATTCTGCTCATGGATATACTGGGAAAGGTTTCCATTAGGTATAAATTCATAAACCAAAATGGGAACCTCCGTCTCCAAACAACAACCCAATAGTTGAACCACATTTCTGTGGTTAATTTGTGAAAGAATCACAACCTCATTGATAAAATCTGAAAGTTGGCTTTCGTCCACTATTTTAGATTTTTTCACAGCAACAATTCTTCCATCATGCCTTTGTAAACAGTACCTTGGCCTCCCTGGCCAAGAATTCTATCAATATTGAAATTGTCAGTGGACGTCTCCAACTCCTTTGATTTGAATAGCTTGATTTTCTCAACATTAACTTCACATGACGACAATTATTTCTCTAATAATAATCCACCATTTCGCTTGAAGAACATCTCCCTGCGTTTCATGGTATGGCGTTTCTTTAGGAATTTGTATCCGAACCATGCACGGATAAGCAAAAGTAACAGTCCAAGACCCGCACCAAGACCTGCATATATAACTCAGTAAAATGATAAATGATCACACAAATT